ACTCTTAACACACAGGTTGTTCCTCCTCCCTACACACCTGCAGCCCTTGGCAGCTGCTGTTCCCTCCAGGTGGATGCCACTCCCCTATTGTCGAAGCCTCTGATTCCTTCGAGCTTTCTCGATGGAATGTCCTCTGACAACCCCCCCCCCCACCAGCAGACTTCACAGTGCCCTCTCTTGTTCCTGTAGCACATTTTCGTGATGCCACTCTTGTACCATTACCATCTCCCCTATATTATTAGCTATCTGTTTCACATGAAAGATTTGTATTGCAAGTAAGAGAAAACACGAGGCTCATTAAAGATCTGAAAAGCTCAGACAATGGCTCCATTTCTCAGTGAGTCCCTTGGCTCTGCTCTGCTCTGCTCTCTGAACGGCATTCATCTTCACCATAGCTTCCCTCCCTCATCAGAGCAAAATGACCACCACCATTCCGGGCTTCACATCCAAATAAATGCCCCACTATTCCCAAGAGGAGGCTTTTTCCTCACATTGCCAGCAGAAGCTCCCAATTCTTTGCCTATTGGGTCCCTCTTGTATCAATCACTCCAGCCTGGGGAACGCAGGGTATCAATTTCCACTCCAGAAGAGGGCTTCAAGAATGTAGACACTGATTTCCACTGCAGATTTGGGGATAAGAATCCAGAGATGAGGAGGCCCCGATGTATTGTCCATTCACTCACTCACTGATTGACCTACTCACTGTATTGATGCCTATTTATCATTGCCACCCGCCCATACACACACAGTCCCTCCTCAATGGGGACAGACCATATGACTGTACACCACCACCACTATCCCAACCACCCTTAATTGGTTACAATTAATTATTTCATTGGTTCTTAATGGGGTGGTTCCATTCCCTAAGAGGCATTTAGAAAATTTGAAGGATTGCCTTCTATTTTAGTTGTGACCAAGCATTAAAATATTGAGATAGACCCAAGGGGAGACTGTATGTTTTTGAAAAATTTCCCCTTTATACTAGTTTGGAGGATTACAGTAACTTTTAAAAATACATGTATGCAAACAGGCTAAGTTGTATATGAATTGTATGTCAAGATGGCAAAGGGGGTCTTAACAGAACATATAAGAGTGTATTGGCAGAAGACTTCTGCCAATGGCTGATCAAGGAGATAATGAGTCCTCTTCCCTAAAAGCAATAATAAAGCTGGACAAAATTGGTCAAAACAACCGTGTCGCACACTGGACACCAACCAAAGGCATATCACAATGGGAGCAGTGTTTGTGCTTGAAAGCTAGAAATTTGGGCAATAACAGTGAGAATCTGTGGCATTCTCTCTTCCTAGCTCCCAGCAGACAGCTTCCGCTAGTGTGGAGAAGTTTCTCTGCTTTGGTTACAAGGGGATCACTGGATTTGGGGCAGTAGGCAGCCCCGCTCTTGGCAGCCTTATAGGTTTAAATGAAAATCTCCAAGGCGGAAACGCAGGAGGGCCAGCAGCTCCCCCAGATTCAGGTTGCCAGTTGTGGGGGCAAATATATCCCTAGCTAAACTTGCAAGCATGTGCTGTGGAAACTAGAGAAAGCCCAACCCAGCCACGCCCTCCTGGCTAACCCCTAAGCTGTGCATGTGCACAAAGATGGGAATGAGTCCAGCAGAAAGTAAACGGTAGGAAACACATGAAAATGGCCTGCATTTGGAGTGTGCTCTTGTTAATCAGCTGCTTCTAAAATGACTCCCACTGACCCTCACCTCCTAGGATTGGTGCCCTGTGTAATCCTTACTCTGGGTGAGGCCGGCACGTAGTGATCAGCTTCTTATAAACAGAACATAGCAGAGTGATGGGTGTCACTTCTGAGGCTAGGTTATAAAAAAAATGACTTCCGCCTCACCCTCATTCTCCCTCTGCTTCCTCTCCTTGGCTGCTCTGATGAAGCAAGCTGCCATATTGTGAGCCTCCCTATGGAGAGTCACATGTCACAACAGCCAGTGAATGTGGCATTCTGCCAACAGCCAGTGAAGAACAAACTCAGTTCAGTGACCTGCAAGCAACCCAGGCCTGCCGACCACCAGATCAGATTGGAACTTGGAGGAAGATCCTCCTCCAGTCAAGCCTCCAGATAACTGCAACCTGGCCAACACCCTGATTTTAGCCTGAGTCAGAGCACCTGGCTAAGGTATACCCAGAATCCTGACCCATGGAAACTGCAAAAATCAATGTTTTTGTTTTAAGCCACTAAACTTTGGGATGATTTGTTATACAGCAATAGGATGACTGACACAGCTCCCCTACCCACACACAGATTCCTCAGCAAAGGACAGATAGCTTAGTGGCTTGAGGTATTTGAGCACAATCTATGTCCAGTCAGATATGTGGACATGGAAACAATGCTTAGGAAGCCAGACTAAAGTATAAAAAGAAAAATTAAAAAAAAAACTAATCAGAAACTTTAATGGCTTCACACCATGAGGAAGACAGGATTCCCAGATTCCCAGACAGGAATTGTCTGATTCACAGAGTCTGGGTAAGTTATTAAATAAATAAACACAGGAAAAAACCCAGCAATGATAAACCTGGCAGGAATCAGAATCCAAAGTTGCTACAATATTTTTTAGTGTCCAGTTTTCAACAAAAAAAATTACAAGATATGCAAAGAAATAGGAAAGTCTGAGACATGCTCAGAAAAACATCTGTCAATAGACACTGTCTCTGAGTTTTCTCAGATGTTGGATTTAGCAAACACCTCAAATAACTACTTATAAATATGGCCAAAGAATTAAAATTAATGATGCTTAAAATTTTAAATGAAAGTATGACAACAATGAATAAACATAAATTCTAAATAAGAGGACAAATTATTTTTCAAGACAGGGAAATTCTGGGGTTGAAAAATAAAATTGAAATGAAAATTATACTATAAAGATTCAGCAAAAGATTATATTAGGAAGAAAGAATTAGTGTACTTGGAGATAGATTGATAGGAACTTTCTAAGATGATAGAAATTATCTTAGAAAAATCTAAAAACAGGGAAAAATTATTGAATAAAAATAAACAAAACTTTAGAGCGCAGGGGCACTTGGGTGCCTCAGTTGGTTAGGCATCTGATTCTTGGTTTCGGCTCACGTCATGATCTCAGGATCATGAGATCGAGCCCCTTGTAAGGCTCTGCACTCAGTGGGGAGTCTGCTTGAGAGTCTCTCCCTCTGCCCCTCCCCCCATTCATGCTCTCTTGCTATCACTCTCAGTATCAAATTTTTTAAAGCTTAGAAAAAAGAAAACTTTAATTTTTTGTCCCCCCAAAATGGGACATTAAGCACATCAACAGATATGTAATGAGTGTTCCAGAAGTAGAGAGGAAAAGGAACAGAGAAAAATAAGGGGAAAAACAATGGCCAAGGTTTTCCAGAATCTGATGGAAAACATTAAACACATATCCCAAAAGTTCAGCAAGCCCCAAGGAGAATAAACACAAAGAGAGCCACACCCAGACACACCATAGTAAAATTTAAAAGACAAGAACAGAGAGAAAAAATCAGCAAAAGGAAAATTACTTGCATGTGCAGGGGAGTGACATGATTAACAGCGAACTTCCCCCTCGAAACAATGGAGAACAGAAGGCAGTGAAATGACATGTGCAAAATGCTGGCGGGTTGGGGGACTGTTAACCAGGAATTCTACTACCCAGCAAATCTTTCTCCAAAAATGAAGATAAAACATAGACATTTCCACATACATAAAGGCTAATAGAATCCATTGTTAAAACCCTGAAGATATATTTGTAAAATGAATGAAGCCAGCTACCAAAGACTACATGTGAACATTTCCATTTGTAAAACTCTAATGGACAAAACAAACCTATGAAATTAGCAGTGAGGATAGTGTTTACCCTTAGAGGGAGATCATGACCAGGACCCTGGGATCACCGCCCAAGCTGAAGGCAGATGTTCAACCGCTGAGCCACCCAGGTGTCCCTGATTCTGGAACATTTCTGTGTACATTGTTTCCTTCCATAAAAGTTTACTAAAAAAAAAAAAAAAAAAAAAAAAAAAAAAAAGGAAGATTGGTATTATCACTCTTTTCCTCTCTTTTTGAACCCCTTTTTTGTTTTCCCCTTCCTTCACCATTTGAGCACATCTGTGGCTTCCAAGGTCATCTTCTCTGGCTTTTGCACACGTCTCCAGCACTACCTGGTGCTCTAGACTTTGCCCTTCTGTTAGTCTTCAAGTCTGTTGTGCTTCCATCCTGCCACAGGACCTTTGCATGTGCTTGAGGCCCCAGAGAGACCTACTTACCCTTTAGCTCAGAGCTTGAGTGGTAACCCACCCACCACACATCCAAATGTAATTCTCTTGTTTGGCCTAGCTTCCAGAATCACATTTCTTTCCTTCAGGGTGCTCATTTTCACTTGCCATTATGGATTCATAGAGTCATTTGACAGCAGCTTTCTCTTTCCCACTAGCCTGTATGTTTTAGGAAGTCTGGCTATGTTATTTTGCATTGTGTCGCCAAGACTGTGCCTGGCATATAGTAGATATCTGATAACTATCTGCTCAATGAACGCGAAAGTTATTGAGACTATAAAAATCTTCATTCTAACACATTGTGAAAAGCCTGGGTACCAAACTGAGGAATTTAGATTTTTTTATAGGCTGCAGGGAGCCACTGAAGTTTTTTTGAGAAACGGAGATACGTGACCTTTGTTTAAGATCTCTATGGAAGTGGAGGTGGAGAGGCCATAAGGGAGGCTGTGGTAGGTTCCAGATGAGGGACAGTGCCTACAGAGGGGCAGTGGCCATGTGGGGAAGCCGATGTTGTGCCCCACTCTGACCCCACGGGCCAGCCGGACAGTGACCTCACAATCACCCTCCAGTCCTCCCACCCTTGAAAGCCATCATTCCAACTGTTGGCCTACATCTGCCTTTTACATTCACATCCTAAAGGTCACATCTGAGGCCCTCCGGGCCAGCTTCTGGAGACACAGGGGTCAGCCAAGCCAGAGCGTGCCACCTTCCCACCAAACACACAGCCAGGACTTCAAAATGACAGAGAAATCGGAGCACCTAAAGGACGTGGCACCCACAGAGAGGAAGTCCATGTGGAGGACCGCCGAGGAGAGGCGGATGTCCGACCTCACCCGGGTGCTGGAGTGGCTGGAGCGGAGACAGGGGAAGAAAAGACTCATTTTCCAGGTGTGTGCTGTCCAAGCAAAACTGTAGGGCAGATGGACTCCAGACTATTACAAGAAGGGAGAGATGGAACTTGATTCCCAGAAACCAGGAGGTGGGAGGAGCTTTAAGCATGGGAGTAAATGGGAAGAATAATCCTCGGGGAGAGGGGAGGTTGTCCATGGGGGCGGGCTGTGTTTGCCAGCTGTCGCTCAAGTAGTTAGGCTCCTACCCTCCCACAGAGCCTGAAGAAGCGGATGCTATCTTTCCAGGTGACTACATTTCTTTCCTTTATTATTTATTTTTTAAGATTTCATTTATTTATTCATGAGAGACACACAGAGAGAGGCAGAGACATAGACAGAGGGCAAGGCAGGCTCCCTGTGGGGAGCCCGATGCAGGACTCGATCCCAGGACCCCAGGATCACGCCCTGAGCTGAAGGCAGATGCTCAACCATGGAGCCACCCAGTGTCCCTGGTCTCTTATAAGGGCACAGAGCCCATTCATGAGGGCTCCCCCCTCACAATCTAACCACCTTCCCAAGGCCCCACCTCCTAACACCATCACACTAGAAGTTAGAATTTCAACATATGAGTTGGGGTGGGGGGAGACAAACTATCAGTCTGTGTACTGCCCTTCCCTCTTTCTCGAGGAACTATGGCAGTTTTGCCTCAGTTTCCCCCAGAGATCCCCAGGCCCATCATCTATGGAAACTCAAGCCATGTCCTTAGAAAATGGTCCCCTCTGTAGAGGATGCCACTGGACCTTGAATTCCCCAGCCCCCTGAGAAAAATGGGTGAAACATGGCATTCCTAATGACAATGTTTATTAAGCATCTACTGTGTGCCAGGCCCTGAGCTTAGCATCGCATTGAGCTAGCTTGTTGGCTGCTCCCCGCGGGGCTACAAGGTAGGCACCATTCTTACCCCTCAGCTCAAGTGAGGTAATAAGGAAGCTGAGTGGGGGGCAGAGTAGTCATTTGCTTGAGCTCATAGAATTAATAAAGGGACAAGCCGGGGCTCGAACTCAGATTTCTCCTGTTCTCAAGCTCATGGGCTTTGTCAGAGCAACTCCCCATAGCCACCCCCACCTTCTCTGCTCCAACCACTATCGTACCCCTGCCTTTCCAAAAAGCTCCCATCTGTTTATATGCTTACTTGAAATTTATGTTCAGAGAGATCTGGAGTGCCAGTTCCATCAAACATACAAAAACACATCTGATAAACATATTTTACATTAAGGTGAATTTAATGATTTATGGATGGGCTACCCCCTGCCCCCCATTTCAACTGCTAAGTCGCTTGGAACTCAGTATCAATCACGGAAATTTTATATTCACTTCTGTGATTAACATGCGTCTCTTCTCACGAAGATCATATTCTAATAATGTTTTCACAGCTTTCCCTCTTATGTGGCTTTTACTGGAAATAATTTTGGACTCAGGGAGGGAACAAATTTAAATTGAAAATACAATGAAATCTTCAGGCGTTATTATCCTTCCCAAAGGCACCTGGCTTTTGAAAGCAGCTCCTGTGGGGTAACTGAGTGATGGGCACTTGATGAGATGAGCACTGGGTGTTATACTATATGTTGGCAAATTTAATTTAATTTATTTTATTTTAATGAAAGAAGCTCCTGAGAAAGTCAATGGTTCCGTGGCAGTTCTCAGGCAGCACAGGTGGAGGGTGCCCTTTAGTGGAGCTGGTTGGAGGGAGCCTGTCTGTGGTGTCCTCTCCCTTCTCCTGGTCTCCACATAGTGATTCATTAATTTCTCAAAATAACCCTAGGACGTAGATCCTACTATTCCTTCCATCTTCGGATGAGGAAACCAAGCCACGGTTCCTCTGCCACCAAGCAGCCAAGCAGGATCCTCACCAGGCACCTGACCTGGAGACCAGTCCCAGCCAGCATGTTCACACAACCACAAGCAGCACACCCTAAGCAGAGACCATGTAGATTCAGCCTTCCTTGAGGGGCTTTGTCCCCCCAGCCCTCGCAGATTGGCCTGGATGCCCTCTGCGGCCCCTCCCCCCTGGACCCTGGAGCTCCCTAACAAATGCGTCCTCCCTGCCTGCCTGGTGGGAGTAGAGGGCCAGGCAGGTGCACAAGAAAGTCCATATATGGGCCACCTGGGAGGCTCAGCAGTTGAGCATCTGCCTTTGGCTCAGGCCGTGATCCCAGGTCTGGGGATCGAGTCCCATATCGGGCTCCTTATGAGGAACCCGTTTCTCCCTCTGCCTGTGTCTCTGCCTCTTTCTGTGTCTCTCATGAATAAATAAAATAAATAAATAAATAAATAAATAAATAAATAAATAAATAAATAAATAAATAAAATAGAAAGAAAGAAAGAAAGAAAGAAAGAAAGAAAGAAAGAAAGAAAGAAAGAAAGAAAGAAAGAAAGAAAGAAAGAAAGAAAGAAAGAAAGTCACATATGCCCCGAGGAGCACCTAGGGAAAGAGAAAGGTAGGATGAATTGTGATGACGGGCTGGATGGGGAGAGGTCAGTCCAGAAGGGAGCTCTGGGGACAGAGGGAGTGTCCTGGCCCGACTCTGAGACAGGGCAGCCCTCCTGTGGCTTCAGACTACAGGCCATGGCAACAGCTATGCAGGCCATATGGAATTCCCACCAGCTTGGGGAGAGGGGGGCCCTTGTGTAGAGGGTAATAGGGAGCCAGTGATGGCTTCTGAGGTTGGGAGGCACAGCCAGACCTGAGGTTTAGAAGGTTGTTCTGGGAGGGCAGTGACATTACACCGGGGCATGTCTGGAAGCAAGACAATGGTGAGGGGGCCCGAAGTACCAGAGTGGGGGCCAAATCTGGTGGTGGGAGGGGGCAGCCCGCTGGCCAGGGGGCCACCCCTCTGTGGGGGCCGAAGGTGGCCTCTGACCACTTGGCAGTCACAGGGCAATCCTCTTTTTTCAAAAGCAGAAACCCAAGGGGATAGTGCTACCGAAAGTAAATGGAAAGGAAGAAAAGAAAACCCAAAACATCCAGAAACAGCAGAAAGGAAAACCCCAGGGGGCATTCATCAAGAAGGTAACACGGGCCCCCCCCCCCCACATTCAGGAGGGGTACCTGCTCTGCTCCTGCACAGTGCCGGGCTGCGTTTCTTAAATTTAAGGCTCTGAAGTCTGCTCCTGTCCCACAGGAATACCCAAATGAGTCACCGCACCCCCCACCCCGCTTCGCATCTCCCCCCAAAAAACTGCCTACCCCGTGGAGTCTGGCACTCCTGTGCTTAGGGGCCTTCTTCCCAGGTGCGGTCCATTTGCTCCTGCCCCCCTCTGAGATAGCACACCGGAAAGCGAGACGTGGCTGAGCAGCCACCAACATGCCATCCCTGCCCCCCTGACCTGTCCCAGGGCCCAGAGAGGCCTCTCCTTGGGCCACTTTGCCTTTCAGCAAACCCTTGCAGTCACTCATTTCGGGGGTGGAGGGGCCCTGCCCAGTCCTATTCCTCATGCCTTGACTTCTCCCCCCGCTCCCCTCCAAGCCCTCCAGTCACGTCACCAAGAACGGGGACCCCATCATGTACCGAAGGCTCTACAGTATAGACCCGAAGGGACCCCGCCTCAGCATAATTCCTGGCAACTACACCAAGGACGGCCCCAGGAAATCCGGTAAGGGACGCACCTCGGTCCTGCAGTGCCAGGATCGTCCCCCACGATCACCTGCCTCTCAGAGGGACGTGAGGCTCACTCTGCCCTTAGGGCAGCAGTGTCCGCGACAACCTGGCCACTGTGGATGGTCGTAGAGGCCACACGGCTCTGTAGGGATGACACCACCAGCCGGGTATGACCCAGGCAGCAGACGAGGGGATGTCTAGGCTCGGCCCACACCTGGGGCTCTCTGCTCAGGAGGCCAGACTTCGTGGGCCTGCCCCAGTCCGTGAGCTCCAAATTTTCTAATTAGGTACGTGGCAACATCAGAGTAGCACAAAGGGACCTCACCTGCTGACTCGAGACCTACCAGGTGTTGCTCACACCCAAGAAGAGGCAAGCTTAGGTCATGCTAGATCTCCGGTTCCCAGGGCTGCCCGGGTTCGAACCTTGGCCCTGCCACTCTGCAGCGAACTCAGAGTCGTGCAATCTGGGGTGAGTCAGCCGCTCCATCTCCGGGGCTCAGCGTTCACGTCTACAATATGGGACGGAAACACGACTCGCCTCGCAGTAGCGTATCCGTGAGATGAGGCATATAAAGCATGTAGCCTGATACAGACTAGGTGCTCAATAAACAGGGGCAAATAGCAATTTCCAAGAAAAGAAAAATTTGCTAAAATGCTCAGGTGGGCTGGACCCTGGTGCTGGAAAGACAATTGCTTTAATTGTGCCTGGCTTCTTGGGAGCGAGGTGTGAGGTTAAAGAACGGTGGAAGGGATCCCAGTTAGCCCAAAGGGGGAGCGGGCAAAAGCGTTTGAGCAGCCGCTGCCAGTTCGCCTGCGCAGAACTGCTCCCACTGTGCCCAGCAAAACGTCCTTTCCTTTCCTTCTCATTTAATACACCGAAGCCAGTGAAACCAAACTACGCTCACTTGCCTGTCAGATTTAAAAATGATTGGCTCTGAATGCTGCGCAGGGTCCTGGACTGAATCCTGGAACCGCGCTTTAGTGGGAAAACTGGCAAAATCCAAAAAAGCTGTTATGCGCCAGTGTTAATTTCTGAGTTTTGATAAACGCGCTCTGCTTGCGTAAGATGTTAGCATTCGGGAAACCATTTTTGCAACCCGTCAGCAAATCTAAAATTACCCCAAAATAAAAAGTTTAGATATAGTTACAGATAGATTGACATACGGCCTACGGGGGCCCGACACCTTTCCCAAGTTTTCTGTGACTCCGGGCGCAAGTCTGGCTCCCAAGTCCTAGCTCGGCTGAGCCTCTGAGCACCTGCGGCTCTGGATTCCGGCGGTCGTTCCCTTTTCCCTGCTCCTTGCCACCGCAGACACAGACACAGAACACAGCCCCGTTCCCTTCATTTCCCCCCAAACCTCTCACGTGAAGCCTTTGTCTGTAAACAGACTTTACTGAAGGCTTGGAGCAGCAGAGGGAAAGAATTTCGTGGCAGATTTATACAGAAAGCAGAAGTTGAGGGATCCCTGGGTGGCTCAGCGGTTTAGCGCCGCCTTCAGCCCAGGGTGTGATCCTGGAGTCCAGGGATCGAGTCCCACGTCGGGCTCCCTGCATGGAGCCTGCTTCTCCCTCTGCCTGGGTCTCTGCCTCTCTCTGTGAGTGTCATGAATACATAAATAAGATCTTTAAAAAATAAAAAATAAAAAAAAAACAGAAGTTGATCACAAAACCCCCTCAAGGGTTCTTCGAGTCCTTCCTCCCCTGCCACCAGGAGTTCCCTGGCTGCATTTGCCTGCAGGGGTGACCTCCCGGAGTTTCCCTTGCCCCAGCACAGGAACCTGAAGGAGCCGAGCCAGGCACCCAAGGCGCAAGGTTTCGGAGTCACTCCCCCTCTGGACTCTGCGCTTGTGGGAGCCTCAGGGTGAACACCTCCTTAAATTTTGCACCCCCCTGGGCGCTTGGCTGGTGTCCTGGGCCTGCCTCTCTCCACATCTTCCTCTCTCTTCCTCTTCCCTTTCCTCCAGGCTCTGTTGTCCTCACGCCACGGTTCCCACCGGCTTGCTACCTGGAAGGACCACTTACTTTCCTTTGTTCCACTGTCTTAGACCCTCAAAAGATGTCTATCAAGATATTTTCCTAAACAAAGGCAGTTCCTTCCCTAAGAGAAACTCACGTACCAGCTGATTAAATAATCCTTTTCATAACTGCACAAAAATGCCAGCGGGGCGGACTGACTTAGCAGTTCTTTGGTTTCTCTGCAGTACCCCCCCTCCCCCAAGACAGGTAAGACAGGTCCACCCGGTTCAAAGAGGGTCGGTTTTGTCCGACCTAATGTAACGCAACAAATAGCCACTGGAGGGCAGCAGGTGCTCAGTCGCCGCAGGTGCTCGGAGGCACCCAGGAACCACCTGGGCATCCGAGTGGGGGACCCAGGAACTGGGTCAGGGCTGAGTCTGAGCACAGCAAGGGGAGCTTCCTGTGCAGGCCAGCAAGAGGCCTACAATGAGTGGGAGTCAAGTTCAACACAAGGCAGCGCCTAGGAAGGGCAGGAGCCAGTTAAAGGGCGATGGCAGGAGTCCAAGTGGAGATACCCGTGGATCAAGGAAGGGTATTCTAGACCAGACTCCTAGTTCTGGCCTTTCCCGCCCCAGTCAGTACTGGAACCATCGGAGTCCTTGTCAAGAGCCGGATCCCCCGCCTGTCCAGGTTTCCCTCTCAGCAGAGTGAGCCCCTTGCATTCTCGATGCCAAGTTTCTGTGTGATCCAGTGAGCAAGAGTCTGTGAGGAATGACCATCAGCCTCAACACTGAATGTGACCCCTCCATCTGTACAGACACAACAACTCCCACTCGTCCACAGTTTTAGTGTTGTGACGGCCACAAAATCAAAATCTGTGTGAAAAACTCTTGTGTCCCAAATGAGTGACATATAAGTGTCTCCAGCTCCAGAACCCCAAAGCTAATTGAAAACAGCAGTGACAGCCCCGATGTGGAACACAGTGCTCCTCGAAGCTGACCATTTCATCTTTGTCCCCCTCCTCATTTTCACAAACCTCCCGTTCACTTCTCTTAATAGCTGAAATGCCACCTCCCACCACATCCCACATCCCGCCACTGACCCCCACACCACCATATCCAGGAGGCAACAGCCTGCTGCCACACTGACACTGTGCTCCAGGGCCACTGCCCTCTCCCTGCGGCCTCTCCTCCCTTTAGTTCCCTGAAAACAGTCTTTTCTGTTTTCCCTTCCTTTTTCACCACCCTCCTGGGCCCTTCTGAGGGCCACCATGTTGATTTTGAATTCGTGAAAGGTCACTCCATCTTTGGGCCAGCAGAAGAGCCTGGGAAAGCAATTGGAACATTTTTCCAAAGTAAATCTTGGCAAAGTCTGAGAAGCTGGACTAAAAAAATGGAATTCACTTGGCTTTCTCTCCCCGGGTACCTATGCCCAGGGAGAGAAAGTCATTCTGTAGATGCCAGAGCAGGAGTGCATCCCTATTGCCAAGGTCTAGAGGGCAATAATATCCTCTGTCTCCATGAGCACAGTCAGCCTCTGGAGTCTCAAACACAGCCGACTATTCAGCTGCAGATTCAGGAATATGTCATTTTTGCCCAGACAGTACCCAGGATGGGTGCCCAGAAAAAGGGACCATATCCTATGTTCACATTTCCCTGGATCCACCACTAATCAGCTCTGGCGTCTAGGGCACATGACTTAATCTCTCTGATCCTCACTTTCTCATTTGTTAAATGGGCATGATATGGTTGTGAGACTGTAGTGCCACCCTCTCTGGAAAGCTCTTTGAGCACTGCCTGGCACACAAGTCACTCAATAAATATTAGTTCATGTGTTTAATTATCATTACAATTTATAGTAGTGTTCTTCTTTTCTACATGAGACCTATGTGGACGCAGGCGATGCTCAGATATCTCAGAAAAAGCTATGGTTCTTTCTCCAAGGGATTTTCCGTTTGTGTTGATCAGGATAGGCAGCTCATGATTCCTCTGGAACATTGCACCAGTTTTCACTATGTATAAACAGAATCTGTTAAGGCTCCCTGGCCAGGGACCTGCTGGCAGTCCAGAGCACCAAACTGGGTATACAGAGTCCCAATTCAGCCACTAATTCATATGAGACCTTGGGCAAATCACAGCCTCTTTCCAGGTGGCTACTCCTCCATTTATATAACTGTGGGAGGTCTAGACTCATTCCCCCTAGACAGATCTCAGTAAAATTCTTGAACTTTATTGATGAAATCTTGTAGCCTTACAGGAAGAATGACTTACTTACAAAGGGAAAACAAATGCTCTAGGTGAGAGCAGAGGTACTAAACTAGAAATAATTGGTTTAAAAATCAGAATCTAGATACACTTAAAATCAGATTTAGTATAGAAAGTTTGAAAACAAAAGGATAAGCCAAGACTTAACAAGAAGTGCAAACACATGAGGTGGAATTAAGGATAAAGGAAACACATAGAGTAAAAGAAGGATATTTTTAAATGTTAAGGAGAATAAGTAATAATCATAAGCCTACACATACCAAAAAATACAGTAATTAAGTAGATAACTATTGAGACTGCAAAAAGAACCTAATAAAACTACAGGTATAGTGGGAGATTTTAATATACCTCTTTTAGAATCAAATAGACATAACTTTATATTTGAATACAGAAGGCATTTTTGTGTGGCCAAAGAATATCTACAAAGTTCATCCGCATATTTACCACTAAGAAAATATTTACATTGAGAAAGTAAAGATTTTAAGGCAACCTACATTGTCTTAAAGCAATAACTAGAGGGGCAGCCCCGGTGGCTCAGCGGTTTAGCGCCGCCTTCAGCATGGGGTGTGATCCTGGAGACCTGGGATCGAGTCCCACGTCAGGCTCCCTGCATGGAGCCTGCTTCTCCCTCTGCCTGTGTCTCTGCCTTTCTCTCTCTCTCTCTGTCATGAATAAATAAATAAAATCTTTAAAAAAAAAAGCAATAACTAGAAATACTGTTTAAATTAAACGATATTCCCAACTTAACAGTCAGAAATTAAGGAAAAACTCCTAAAATACCCTGTACCAGAGAAAACAAAGCTCATAAATATGCTCCTGTTTCTTACCAAAGCCTATGAGAACAAAGACAAAATCTATTCTCAGAGGAAAATTTATGGTAACAACTAAAATGAATAATTCTTGTCTTTATAATACAAAAAAAAGAAAAAATGAATACTTTTAGCAATTTTTTATTTACAATAAGATAGGAGAAATAATATGAGAGAGTTTTCATACATTAAATACCAGCTGAGATTAATGAAACCCAAGATAAAAAGTAGTCAAAAGGATAAATCCAAAGCTAGCTTTTTGAAAAGCAAGTGATAAATAGTATAAACACCTCATGACAACTGTTCAAAAGAAGAGTAAAGGGGTGCCTAGGTGGCTCTTGGTTTCAGCTGAGCTCATGATCTCAGAGTTGTGAGATCCAGCCCTGCAACAGGCTCTGAGCTCAGCAGGGAGTCTGCTTGAGATTCCCTCCCTCTGCCCCTCCTCCTGCTCATGCTAAATCAATCAATCAATCAATCAATCAATCCAAGATTTGATATGAGAAAGAATACATAAGCAAAGATGAGAAATATGTTAACTGAGCTATAATAGAACACTAGATGCACCTCTCTACGATATATTTGAAAACCTAGGATAGATAAGTTCCTCTCCCACAATAAATTATTTAAATCGATAGAATAAAGAAATTTGAAGACAGTAATTTCTGAAGTAAAAACTGAAAGGTGATTGTCGCTTTATCACTGAACAAGTCACCAAGACACCCCCCCGCCGAGCTGCGCCGCCCGCCGCGCCGACGCCATGCTCCAGTTCCTGCTTGGATTTACTTTTGGCAACGTGGTTGGAATGTATCTGGCTCAGAACTATGACATACCAAACGTGGCTAAAAAACTAGAAGAAATTAAAAAGGACTTGGATGCCAAGAAGAAACCCCCTAGTTCATGAGGCGAATTCCAGCACTGCCTTTTGGATACATTGATTCTGCTGTTCTTGAGGGCCTCCTTATCTGAACCAGAAGCTTTTGTTTTAAATTCCAGCCTCAACCATTTTCCTCTCTGCTAGATCCTGCCTTGCCTGAGAGCACAGATGGGGCCAGATGTTAAGAACCACCCTTTCCATCTTCCTCACCTTATCCCTTCTTCCTCCCAGCCACTTGAGAAGGCCTGACTGGAATCATGGTGCTAGATTAGTAAACGTGACCTTTAATTAGTAGTCTCTTCTTTATTCTTTGGAATTTCTACTCTTTTCTAAAGAAAAATTGATGAGTTTTGTATAGCTGATCAGACATAAATAATGCTAATTTCACAGTTTAGCAATTATAATTGCTGTTTAAACATTTGGTACTAAAAAAAAAAAAAAAACAAGTCACCAAGACAAAAGGCTTCACACCTGGTTCTGTTTGCCTTTTCAGGAACAAACAACCCTAATGTTGCTTCAGCTACTCCAGACCATGTAAACTACAGACACTTCTGCATTAATCCAACAAGCCATCAGAACCACAATATTAAAATATTTGCAAAGAAATAATATAGATGCAAAAAATATTTATTTTTTAATTTTTATTTATTTATAGTCATACAGAGGGAGAGAGAGAGAGAGAGAGAGAGAGAGAGAGAGGCAGAGACACAGGCAGAGGGAGAAGCAGGCTCCATGCACCGGGAGCCCGACGTGGGATTCGATCCCGGGTCTCCAGGATCGCGCCCTGGGCCAAAGGCAGGCGCCAAACCGCTGCGCTACCCAGGGATCCCGATGCAAAAAATATATTAAAAATTTTAGCAAATATACTAAATACATGTATGAAAATACATCAGTGTATGAAATCAATAACATGCCATGACCAAATGGGATTTCTTTTTTTTTTTTTGAAGAGAATGATGTTTATTCATTTATTTATTTTCAAGATTTTATATAAATTTGTTAGCTCACATATAGTGCAGTATTAGTTTCAGGTGTAGAATTTAGTGACAAATGGGATTTCTTATAGCAGGTTAGGAATGGTTAGGTTTTCAATATCAGAATATCTAAGAACATAATTTATTCCATCAAGAAAGTAAAGGAAAAACCATAAGAGCTTGTCAGTAAATGACAGAAAAGCAAAAAGTAGAATCAAGCAATTATTGCTTATAAAAACTAAGAATTAAGCTGCTAAATATTATAGAACATACCAAAAGTAGTGTCAAGTATCATTCTGAATGATGAAATACTAGTTATTTTAATTAAAATCAGGAACAAAATGAGGCATGACTGCTATCATCATTATTGACACTGTTAGAAAGTCTGTCAAATGCAGTATGTCAAGAAGAGCATATCATTTTCCTAAATGTTAGAAGGAAGATATTTTCATTTTTTCCCTTGATATGATTACACAGCCATAAAATTCAAGAAATTCTAGTAAAGAAATAATAAAATATGGTTTTGTCGTTAGTGTACTAGAAAAAATACATTGAAAGACGATAGCCTTTTCTCTGTACTAGTACCATTTCTAGAAATGGAAATGGGAACGAAATATCACATTCTTATCAGTAAAATTTTATAAAATACTTAGTGGTAAATTTAGAAAGAAGAAAAAAATTAAGTTCTTTACCCACTAGCCCTACAGTGTTTAATTCAGTACAAGTCCCGTATTTGGGTAACATCAGACACCATCACAGTTCATATATTTGTGTCTGTGTGCAGCTGTCCTGCTGTTCCTCACACCTGTACATGCTGTTCCCCCTGCCTGCACCTGCTGCTCCTCACACCTGTACATGCTGTTCCCCCTGGCTGCATATGCTGCTCCTCACACCTGTACATGCTGTTCCCCCTGGCTGCATATGCTGTTCCTCACACTTGTACATGCTGTTCCCCCTGCCTGCACCTGCTATTTCTCACAGGTGCTATTTCTCATCTGTACATGCTGTTCCTCACACCTGTACATGTTGTTCCTCCTGCCTACACCTGCTGTTCCTCACACCTGTACATGCTGTTCCTCCTGCCTGCACCTACTATTCTCCTCTTTCATCCAATAAACTGTTTTTCCTTTAAAAACCCCATCTTGGGGCACGAGGGTGGCTCAGCGGTTGAGCATCTGCCTTTGGCTCAGGTGGTGATCCTGGAGTCCCTGGATCGAGTCTCACATTCGGGCTCCCTGCATGGAGCCTGCTTCTCCCTCTGCCTGTGTCTCTGCCTCTCTCTCTCTCTGCGTGTCTCTCATGAATAAATAAATAAAATCTTAAAAAAAAATAAAACATCAACAACGCATGTCGAGCAACCACCCAAACAACCACCAGGTCCAAGTCCATCTGGGGGTTCCTTGGGGGAGGAGGGGCGGGGCGGCGGGGAGCTGGGGCCACGCGGGAGGGAGGAAAAGGCTGCGGGAGCTGAACCCTGCGGACAGGGGCCCCGGGACAGGGCTTTGTGGCCCCCCCCCCGCCCCCCAGGCCAGCTCTAACTCCCGTTTCAGACATCAACATCAAGGACGCCATCGCCCTGGAGTCCACGCAGCGGCCCCTGTCCTACCGCCACCAAAGCATCGCGGACTCCCTGCTGCAGGAGCCGCCTGCCTTCAGCGCTCGGAAGTCCACCCTCCTGAGAGACTGGGTAATGAGCAGGACGTCCGACGTGTCCTACGAGCGCAAGCTGAGGAGCCTCATGGAGAAGGGCGTGGAGCCCAAGGCCGAGGCCGTGAGGATGCTGAAGCCTGAGGAGGTGCTGAGCTGCCGGTGAGCAGGTCCCCACTGCTCCAGACGCCTGGGCTGAGCCTGGGCTGAGCCTGGGCTGGGGCCCCCGGGGCTGGCGGACCCCGCTCTTTGTGTCCCGAGGGGCCCTTCCAGGGCTGAAGCAGTGGGTTCCCCGCAGCCTCGCCTGCTAGTTGGTGGATGAGCTCTGGGATGGGCATGACATTTGGGTCCTGCCATTCTGATGCCACACTGTTGGACCCGTGCACCACCCTTCCAGTATTTCCACATGTCTCACAATAGACATCATTATCAAAAAGAAAAAATGAGTTGTCTGTGGCCTAGTGTTAAGAGAAAAATCCCCCTATGATTTGCTGGTTGAGCTGTTGGCGGCCTTGGGTTGCTGGTGTTGTTGAGTTGCTGGTGATTGTAGCCACCATCCCCCAGATTGTGGCCACCATCCACCCACACATGGCTACCTGCTATGTGTGGGGTTTTAGACTCCCCAGGGTACTACGGGTGAAGCCCTTTGGTATTTACCGCTCTTACCAGAGGTCTTCCTCCTCACTTGCCCTTCGTCTTATTTATCAGGACCCCCCCCCCCAAGCCCAATGCTAGCAAGGCTCAGAAACTTCAGTAGAAGAAACAGACAACACAATGATGTGCATGTCCTTGTAGACTGAACATCAGTGAGCTCATCTGTAGGTTTCAGATGGCCTCAGATGCCAGGCATCCGGTGACCCCATTACAAAGTCCTACTCTGCTGACTGGCTGAGAGATGGATGTGGCAACCTCCCTAGCAGGAGGGGGCTTAAAAAAAAAAGATTTTATTTATTTATTTATGAGAGACACAGCGAGAGAGAGGCAGAGACATAGGCAGAGGGAGAAGCAGGCTCCATGCAGAGAGCCCGACATGGGACTTGATCCCAAGTCTCCAGGACCATGCCCTGGACCGAAGATGGCACTAAACCGCTGAGCCACCCAGGCTGCCCTGAAGGGAGCTTTTTGCTTGACCTTTCCATGGATGGATGACTTTGGTTATGGCTTTCACTTTGACGGGGTGATTCTCATTGACTCCGGCCAATGGACAGCCTACCTGGGCTTCAGGGTGGGCAGAAAAGAGATTTGGGCAGGGCCCCTGCCCACCAAGGAGAGAGGGAGAATATTGGGAAAGATGGCCTCTGATGAGCCATTAGAAAAACATTCAAAAAAAAAAAAAAAAGAAAGAAAAACATTCAAGATAAAGACGAAATCGTCCAGAATGGGATCCTAGTGAGTGCTCACGTGTACATTTGTGTGAGACCCTGTAGGGCTGGGTTGGCTGGGAAGGGAACGGGACAGACCCTGCCTGGTGCTATCAGGGAAAGGTAGTCCAGACATGGGGCTGTGGAGAGGGGTGTAAGATGTCTGTAAGAACAGGTAAGCTCTGGGCAGATCTTGAATGACAAGGAGACCATTCCCAGTGGGTAGAATATGCAGCTCCTCCTCCATCGTCTGTAGCAAAGTGACTAAGCAGCAGGTGGCCTGAGTAGGAGACCCGTCTCCTTATTTAGAGCTGAGAACGAGGTCAAAGCCCCTTGTAGAACTAGGAGCTCTGAGGATATGATGGTAGAGCATCTCTCTGGACAACACAGCATTGACGGCATCACTTCTCTCCAGTACAAGTCAGGATTGTGGGGCTTTAGCTAAGATTTTAAATCAACGGCCTAATTTTTTGTTTGAATATTATTAAAAGAAAATACTCACCTTTCCTACAATTTTACTCAGCTTTTATTGCCACTGTTCTGTATTTTGCCCAGGCCTTGGCATCACTGAGATTAGACACACCTGGCAGTGATGGAAGCCCTGACCACTGCATCTCTCCCCATGTGGCATAATGCATCGCCATCACCATAGTGCACCTGCTTCTTCCAATGCCATGTTAATGCTGGCAGAAGAGTCCTTGAGATGGATATTCCATTATTTGCTTAACCACTCCTCTGTGGATGGAATTTCCTCTTTTCCTGTTGTTGGTAACCCCGAAACGAACACTTTCATTTATATAGCTTTTCATTCCATTGGCTTCTTTTCTTGGGATTAGTTGAAGGCCTGAGTGGAGTTCCTGAGTCAAAGATACTGAACTTTTTGGGGGGACTTGTGGGGATGGGGACGGTGCCTGGAACAGATGTTGCCGAATTAATTTCCAAAAGAGTTATACCGGTAAAAACTCCTACCAACTCTGTGGGGTGTCCCACTCTTTGATAAGACCTCTGTCAGTTCCAGAAACATCTACAGAATCAGTTCTCTTTAGAGACCCCACACTGCTTAAATCTAAGCTCTTTTCAATAAAGGTTGAAGCTACGAGGACTCCACACTCAACTAACTAACCCATTTGGCCTTGTCTTGCACAGATACCTGAGGTTGTCCAAGAACAACATTCGAACCTTGCTCAAGCTGTGCAAGGATGCAGGCCTGAATGTGGACATCCATCCCCACATGGTCGAAGGAGAGATAGATGCCAAAAAGGTGTTCGCCCCAAACCCCAGCATAGCCCTCTAAGCAGCTCGTCTCCCCGGCCACCTCAGGGTCCCTCTGTGTTGGGCCCTCGCCCCCCACACAACATCTTCTGGTATGGCACGCCAAGTCCTTCAAACCTGGTGCATCCCTTTTAGATGGTAGTGATTAGCAAACAAGGCTAAACTGCATGGATCATTGTGTTCATGTAGCGTTTGTCCTTGACTCGGATCAGAACCAATTTAGAAGGAACTATGGACCTTCCCCCCCACCAAAAGCAGATTCTGTAGAAAGGCCTTCTTAGAAAAGTAGTCTTATTTTTATTTTATTTTATTTTATTTTATTTTATTTTATTTTATTTATTTTATTTTATTTTATTTTATTTTATTTTTATTTTACACACACACCAAAGTCTCACACACCACCCCCACCCCTGCCCATGCAGGACTTGGTTCTGTGGGGAAGTGAATGCCACATTTTCAAGGGACTGCTTGGTGCTCCCAGGCCCTCAGGGAGGGTGTGCTGCAGGAGCCTCTCCTTTCAGACCCCAAGTGCCCCTGCAGAGTTGGGTTGCAGACTTCCTCTGGGGTTCAGCAGGGACTGGAAAAGGGAGGGGAAATGAATGAACAGGAGACATCTTGTCCCACCCCAGCAACTAGGGCCACCTGGGTGCTCTCCTAGGGTCCAGAGGGCTTTCCTGTGTGGACTCGACAGGCACAAGCCTCCAACTCAGCTTCTTGGCATTCTAACCAAATAAGCCTACAGTGAGCCCCAAGATTTATAGATAACACTGAGAAAGGAACACTTATCAGCAACCCCAAGCCAGGGTCGCTTGGCAGACAGGACCACCTGCAGCACGCTATACACTAGTATTTTATTAACTCTGAAATGACCTCGTGATTACATTTCTTAACAGAGTTATCACCAGATACAGAAACAGACACATATACTAGGAACAGATTCACACAGGTACAACCCCCTGGTTTATGGCAAAGGTGACACTGTGGCCCAGTGGGGAAAAGACAATCTTTTCAATAAATCAAGCTGGTCAATTAAATGTCCATATGGAAAAAAATATCGACCCTCCACCTCCCAGCATATGCAAAAATCAGTTCCAGATGGATGCAGATTGTGAAGGCTTCTAGAAGAAACATGGAAGACAATCTCCGTGACCTTGGGGTAGGCCAAAAAATTTTAAACAACACAACACAAAAAGCCCCAGTAATGAAAGAAAATATTAATAAATTATATCATAGTAAAAATAGAACTTCTGCTCCTCTAAACGCATCAGTAAGAGAATGAAAAGACAAGTAACCCAAGTGGGAGAAGATAGATCTGACAAAGGGCTCATACCCAGATGACCTATTTTCAACTCCTATAAATCAATATGAAAAACGCAGGTAACCCAATCAAAAAATGGGCAAAAGTCTTGCATAGGCACTTCACAAAAAGTGTTAGCTAAGTGACCGATAAACAGAAGAAATTTCATGAGTTATCAGGAATGCAAATGAAAAATATAAGGCAGTGCAACTAACACCCATCAGAATGGCTAAAAAGAGTGACAGTGTCAATTATAGATGAAAATGTAGAGCAAAGAAAACACTCAACATGTGATTGAGATGGTAGATTGGCACAACCATTTTTGGAAAACTGGTCATATATACAAAAGTTGCATATACGCCTAAGCTGTGGCCCAGCATTTCCATTCCTTGATACATACATACTTCACAGGATCTTACAGAAAAGTGCACCAAAAGACTGTCCCAGAATGTTCATCGTGGCTTTATTCAATACAGCCAAATACTGGAATCAACCCAAACATCCTTTGGCAGTAGAAAGGATAACTCGCAGTATATCTGTACAATGGAATACTGCGTAAAAATGAGAATGAACAAATATGGGTGAGCAAACCACACAATATCGCACAAAAGTAGCAAGATACCAGAGAGGGCGGCTGGGTCTAGTTCTGTGTATACAACAGTCCCTCAGGCAAGATGAATCTACTGAGTCAGAAGCCAGGCTAGCGGCAGCCCCTAGGGGAGGGTGTGTCGTGGCTGGAGGGGCACCTGCCATGCTGACCACACAGACGTTCACTTGTGAAGTTCATTCACTGTAAGCTTGGCTTTATGCCTTTTAGGCAGGTACATACTTTAACTAAAAGTGCATTTTTAGGACAGCCCCAGTGGCTCAGCAGTTTAGCCCTGCCTTCGGTCCAGGGTGTGATCCTGGAGACCTGGGATGAGTCCCACGTGGGGCTCCCTGCTCCTCCCTCTGCCTCTCTCTCTCTCTCTCTCTCTCTCTCTCTCTCTCTCTCTATGTCTGTGTGTCTCTCATGAGTGAATAATAAATATTTTTAAAAAGTGCATTATTAAAAGTATCCTAACAGAGTTCTGGTTTTGTTTGCTAAAAACAGTAACAGCCTCAAAAGTAAAGCAGTTCAGGTTACCTCCACCTTCAAGGTCAAGGTGGCCAGAGGGGTAGAAACTTCTAGTTAAAAGAAAAATAAGTCTTGGAGCGGGGGTGGTGGTGTAGTCTACATCATGGAGACTTTGGTTAAGAATGGGGAGCTGAAAAAAAAAAAGAATGGGGAGCTGAGTATCTAGGGGTTGCAGTGTATTTGGATCTGAAAATTCTCATCACGAGAAAAAAATGCATCCTACACACCAGAAACCAACATGTTATATGTTCTTTATATCTCAATAAAAAATAAAATCGGAAAAATCATTAAAAAAAAACAAAAAACAAACAGGAGCCTCAAAAGTGAAGGTGGTTCAGAGTAGCTCCCCCTCCCCCCTCCTTCCGCAGCTGCAGTTCCCACTCTGCGCCACCAGGTGGGGCTCGATCACAGCAGAAGACCTGCGCCCACACCTGCCGGGCTGCTGCTAGTGGAGCTGGCAAGCCCAGGTGAGGGGCGGCGGGGCCCCAGGTGACTCCAGCCTGAGCCCAGAGCCGGTGGGCAAAGCCCAGCCAGGCAGGCACCAGCTGAGGCCCCCTGGGCACATCACTTCTCTGAAGCTTCAATCCCTCCCTGCAAACGGGTACAAGAAATGCAACTTAAAACAACAATAAGGTATCACTCTACACCTAATTAGACTGGAAAAATATTAGTAAGCTGGGGAATGCCAGCGTTGGCCCAGATACGGAAATAAAGGCACTTCTGGCCTCTCTAGTAGGTAGTCCAGGCCACTGTGGCCTTTCTTGGTGAAGTCACACAGATTTCTTCACTGTCACGTACACATCACAGCCACTAGCAATTCCACTCCTTGGTCTATATTCCAAAGAAGGTCCATCCCAGGGGAGATATTTAAGGGGGCTTCCCCCACTGTTGACAGGTGGTGGGTGCTGGGGGCCATCCGTGCGTGGAAAGGTGGACGGCAAAATGCGAGTGGGATGGGATGTGACACAGCAGCCCTTGTACAAATTAAAAGTACATACATGTGAACAATACAGTGCTGATAAGAAGAGGTGTAAATGCATCAGGACAGCTGAAGTAGGGGAGGGAGGAAAACTGTGGACAAGAATACCAAGTTTCTAGAGTGATTATAAAAAGAAGAATCTAAGGGAAGCCTCTATAGAATCTCTAGTATTTCGTGGGTGCCGAATAAGTTATTTTCTACTTGTGCCTTTACACATTCGTATTTCTCGAATGCCTGTTGTGCGTTAAGCACTGTACTAGGCTCTGTAAGACAACAAGAAGCAAAACAGACCAGAAAGAAAAGTTCCTGCCACCAGGAGCTTTGAGCCTTATTCTACAAACCTGGGTGTGAAAGAAACGGCACATTTTCCAAACCAAACTACTACCCATATGATTTTGTGCCCCTGTCATGCTGGACGGGTGGGAAACTCGCTTGCAGTCAGCAGTGCAGTTCCCTTGGTCACAGGTCCTGGGATATAATACGGGGTGGTACCCCAGAGTGTGTACAATTCCCTGTCCCTGCCATCAGGTCACTGCTGGATCACTATGCGTCACGGCCCACAAAAGCCCAAAAGTTTCCTGCAGATGGGAAGCTCCATTTGGTTCTGCACCAAGCTGGCTCCAGGACTTACATGGAGGCCCACGGCTATGATCCTGCCTCCTGAGAAGGGCCACACAACCGAGGACCTGACACATCCAGGACGCTGACAACAATGAAGACACATCTCCGTCACAGCCCTGTCAGCTCCTTTTTCCCCTGGCCTATGCTTCTTTTCCCCCCAGTTCCCACCTCAAAGCACTCAGGCCACCAGGCCAGGGCAAGCAGGCAGTCTGCAGACACCTTCTGCCCCTGGCCTGGCAACAGAAGTGTCCTGTAGATGGTGAGTCAGAGCTGCTCACCCCTGGGAAGGTCGGGGAGAGAGAGCGAAATCCAGAGAACCAAGCATAAAGAATTTTCAGGCTTTTCCATTCCTCTCCCATTGTGCAAACAAAAATACAAATTTAAACCACGATAAATAGCCCTGACATCATATTTCTAGGCTCTTATTTATTCAACACGGTGGTTGCGTGCATACTGAATGATGTGTGTTCTAGGCACTCAGGGGGCCTTCAGTGATTGGTGTGACAGTTGATGGTGCTGTGAAGACCGTGAGAGGGAGGTGGCATCCCTATCCAGTTCATTTGGTTGCCAAAAATAGTCAACTCTGGAAAAAAAAAAAAGAGAGAGAGAGAGAATGCATGTGTTTGTGTACATGGGCGTATATGTGTACACACGTTGTGCACATTTGTGTGTATGTATACATGCATGTATACAATGCATGTGTGTGTGCATGTAATGATACGTGCGTGCGTGTTTGTATGCACATAGTTTGCATGTATATAGGTGTGTGTGTGTGGAATCACGTAGTTTTTAGAATTGCCTTACCTCCCAGTCCTGGACCAGTATTTCAGCTGCAGACACAAATCCAGGGAGAGAGCCGGACTGCCTCTCCAGACTCAGGCCCCCATCCCTCGGCCCAGCGAGGGCGGAGCACCAGGAGAGACCGGTCCACCAAAGCCACACAAGGGGAAGCAGGCCAGTTCCCCAAAGGAAGCGGAGGATGCTCACTGGTTATCTCCTGCCAGGGAA